TGCCCCCCGCCACCCCCCCCCCATGAATCGCCTCTCCCGCAGGCTTCAGCCAGCTGGAGCAGCCGCCCTCGCTGTTTGTGCTGATGGGCGCGTTCCAGTCGTACGCCGCCAACGCCGCCAACACGCACTACGCGCGCCTGCGGGAGCACTTTGCGGCGCTGGGGAGGGCCATCAACCAGTACCCGGCCATACGGGTGGGTGTGCGGGTGGTGGCCAGGGCACCGGCAGATGGTGTGTGTGTGTTTGAGCTGGGATGGTGGGTGGGGGTGGGGGGCGTTGGGCCCGAGTCCTGCTTCGCTCAGCGGCCAGCCTCTCCCAGCCTCTGCCAATGCCTGCCGTGCCTGCTCCCGCGGCGCAGGCCGCCAGCAAGTTTGCGCTGGTGCCGGGGCCGGGCGACCTGGGGCCCGGCGGCAGCCTGCCGCGGCCGGGGCTGCCCGTCGCGGTGGCGGCGCCGCTGCTGGAGGCGGTGCCAAACGCGGTGCTGGCCAGCAACCCGTGCAGGTGACCCCCCTGCTGCATGCGCTGCCTACCTGCCTCGCCTGTCGCCTGCGCATGCTGTCTGCTCTGTTTGGGGTTTGGTTGTGGGGTGGCGCCACGTGCCCAACACGCCTGGCCATGCCTGCCTGCCGCGGCTGCGCAGGATACGACACGGCGGCGGCGAGGTGGTTGTGTTCCGTGACAACCTGCAGCAGCGCATGCGTGGGCTGGCCATCCTGCCGCCCCCCGCGGGCGACGAGGCGCCCCTGTTTGAGCACGTGTGCGCCACGGTGCTGCAGCAGAGCCACCTGTGCCCAGTGCCGCTCGAGTATCAGGTAGGCGGGTGCTGCTGGCGGCTGTCTTGGGGCCCTGTGTCGCACATGTGGGGGGGTAGGGGCAGCCAGCGGCCTGCTGCGTGGATGACTCGCCGGCCACTGGGTCTCCTCAGCTGGCTCTAGCTGCCCAGCGCACCATAGCACCACCACACTCGCACCCCTGCTGCTGCAGCCCATCTATTGGGAGTACGACCACGCGCTGTATGTCTACCCCATGCCTGACGCCCTGGTGCTGGCAGACAGCGCCGCCGCCGGCGCGTTTGAGTTCGACAGCTGCAGCTGCCTCAACCCGGTGAGTGTGGGAGAGTGGGTGGCTGGGGCTGGCGGAGGGAGCCACGGGCTGCAGCACAGCAGGGAGGGTGGAGGTGGCCACGCCCGCCCTGCCTGGGCAATGCTGTGTAGCAGGCACCTCGCCACCCAGCTGACTGCCTGCCTGTCGTGCCTGGGCCGCACCCTGCCCTCGCAGGGCTCGCTGGCCTGCGGCACCTTTGCCGCCTACAGCCCTGTGACGCGGGAGGCAGAGGTGTGCGATGTGCAGCTGGCGGCAAGAGAGGAGGACGAGATGGAGGTGGAGGCGGAGCTGGTGGAGGTAGAGGAAGTGGAGGAGGGGGCCTAGGCATGTGCTTTTCAAATGCGGCACCAGGTCGAGGCCGGGCGCCGGGCTCGCATCATCGCACTCGTCGATCGTGTGCTGCTTGCTGGCACAGCTGCCCCCTGAAATCGCGCCTGGGCGCACCCCTGGAGAGCATGTAATCTTCCCCGCAAGCCCCCGCTGGCCACACGGCCGCTCTTGAGTGCCTGTTCAGGCAGAGTCCGGCGACAGACGCTGGCAGCCAGCGCAGCGTGCGTGTCCCATGCCGGCGTCCTGGGCCCGCGTCCCGCCACGATCACCCGCATTTCAACCACCATCCTCCTCTGCTTGCTCGTTACCACCTGGCTCGCAGTTTGACGCTTTGAGTCACTGTCGGCAACAACCTCCCACACGCTCTCTCGGCGCCGGCCCCACCGCGCCGGGAAGGCGCATTCCAGTGATCATATGGCGCACAGCAGTGATCACCAGGCCGCCCCGCCTGAGCCTGGCAAGGCGGGCGGGGCGTGCAGGAAACGCAAGGCGGCCCAAGTGACGGTGCTGCCGCCCTTCGTGTTGCACGCGCAGCTTCAGAGCCGGTGCGTGGGAACGAGGGGCGTGATCAGCAGTGCAGTTCCATCCCCCCTGTTGCCAGGGGCCAGGGCGCTTCAAACCTGCCACTTACCCCCTTGGCGCAGGCAGCTGATGAGCCGTTGGAAGCTGAGGCCGGCGGAGGGCAGCAACGGGCTGCTGTCGGGCCGTGCTGCCGCCACCGCGCCGGCGGCGGCAGCCAGCGACAGGCCTGCCGCCAAGCTGGGGGGCAAGCCGGCCGGGCGTAAGGGCGTGCCGCACACCTACGTGCCCGTTCGCACGCTCCCCCTCATCTTTGCCCAGCGAAGACAGCACCTGCAGCAGCAAAAGGCCAAGGCGCAGCACCGGGGCCCATATGAGCAGCGCGACGGCGAGGGCCTGCTGGCCTTGCCTGAGGATGTGCTGGTGAGGGAGGCCCTGCAGCATTGCATGCCTTGTGAGTGCAGCCGCGAGGAGCTGATCTTGCTGCAGGGCTGCAGCCTGCAGGCCTGATGCACCCGCCCGCTCTGCCAACGCACCCAGCAATGCTGGAGCCCCGTCCCGCCTCCCTCCCCGTGCGCAGCTCAAGGTGGTGTGCTTCCTGACGCACGACGAGCTGAAGCCGCTGTTCCAAGTGTGCAAGGCGCTGCGCACCACGGTGAGGCCTGCCGCTCCCCTGCCCCCCGCCGCCGCCGCCTCTCCCCTGCCGCGGCTTTTCTTGGCATGCCGCTTCGCCAGCGCATGTTCCAGAACGCCCTCCCTGCCCTTGCCTGCAGCTGCGCAATGCCGTGGCCTATCACTTCAACTACAACACCCCCAGCCGGCCGGTGGAGGAGCACGTGCCGCCGGTGCTGGGCGAGCGCCAGCGCCGCCCCGCGCGCACCAACGTGCAGCAAGTCATGAGCCGGCTGGCACGCGGCGTGCGGGGAGTGTCGGGGTGAGCAGGAGCCTCGGGGGCGCTGGATCCCCACCGGCCCGCCTGCTGCTGCCTGCCTGCCGCCAGTGCCGGCTCGCTTGCCTGCGGCGCCGTGCTCCCATGCTGAGCGCTGCCCCATGGCGCTCCCTCGACACCTGCAGGCGCAGCAGCGGCACCACTGCCTCCAGCCGCAGCACCGCGCCGCGAGCCCTGGACTTTGCCGACCTCCCCGCTTCCGGCAGCGGCGTCCCTGCTGCGGTGCCAGTGGCGCTGGGCTTCGGGGCGGGACCGTGAAGCCGCCCGCCACGCGCGCAGCGCCCATTTGCGGCGCTCTGGACCACAATGCATGCCCCGTACGGCCCTCCAGCCCACAATGCACACCCATGGGGGCCTTGCATGATTCAGTCATCCAATAAACGATCCGGCATAGCGCAACCGGGAGGGTAGGGAACTTGGCGCCGCGTCTGCCAGCTTGTATGATACGCGGGATCTTGTGGCTGCCCTGGGCGCCGCCTTGAGTCTCTTTATCCTTTTATCCACATTCATTCTTTTGACATCAGACAGCCTCGGTCTTCGATTGTTCGTTTGATAGTGGCACTTGTTTTTTCCTGGCCGTACGTTTCATGTTTGCTTGAGCGCCCAACCCACACCTTCCAGACAGACTGTATTCCCTTGCTGTTTGAGCACACAATGCATCAGACCCCATGTAACTGGCTAGCCAGTGCAGCCATGCCAGTGCCTGCCCGCCTGCCTTGCCAATCGCTCGCGATTACCTGTAATGTGCTGTACAGGTTGGGTAACAAAAAAAAAAAACACAAAACAGAGCAATACAGAGACGCATTAAAGGACAGAGGGATACAAAAAGAGGCGCTCGGGGGGGGAGAGCGGCGCTCGGGAAAAAGTTTGCGAGGGCAGGAAAAGGTGTCGGGGGCAGAGGGAAGGGAAGGGCTTTTGGCAGAAGCAGAAATCCCGGGTGAAATGAAAGGGAAGCTGCCTAGCGTTTAGAATAGCGGCTTAGAAAGCAGCTCGATGCATGGCACTCTCAAGTTGCCAGCGCCCAGCCGCCCAGCATCTGCTGTTGCTAGCCGTGTGGGAACTGATGGGACTACCTACTCCTGCGTCTGGCGCATGGCCAGGGAACCGTCTCAATAAAGATAAAAAAGGGGAGGGAGCGGCGGACAAGGGGGTCGGGGGGGGGTCGGGAGGAGGGGAAGCGGGGGGGAGGGCCTC